AAAAAGAAACATGGAGCGATGACACGCTCCTTCTCCTCCTCTTCCTCATCTGTACACGGTGACATCAGCGGCTGAAATCAGTCTGCTTTCTACTTCCTGTCAGGTGGTCTAACGCTTCGACAGCTCATTGGACAGCCAGTCCAGTCCCTCGTACAGACCTGTGCCCTGCGTCGCACAGGTGGCCTGCACGTGCCACTGAAACACACACAGATCAGCATCGGTGAGCAGGCAGGTACAGGGAGCACACACAAGTGAGTTTACCTGTCTAAACAGATTTAGCTCCATGAGTTTGTGACCCCCGAGTGGATTTTCTAACAACCAATGAGGATGCAACTGTAAAATTAAAACCCAAGGGTTCCGCCCACTGGCACTGACATCACAGATTACCAACAGAGGGAGATATTTTATTTCAAGCCAACATGAAAATACTTGCGATTACAAAGACATTATCAACACTTTACATGTACATCCATATCAGCCACCCAACTTAATCGATTCTGATGATTAATGGAATTATTTTTGCTCACTACCCACATGGCTTTAAATATATAATTTCCCCCTGCTGGTAGTGCAGATTACTGCAGCTTCAACATGAAGCTTTGTCGCGATATCGGGTTGGCTGATGTGCTCAGAGCGCTACCACTAGAACAATGCTTTGAGCTCATTTGAGGTCACCCCACTGTCTCCTGTTTTGTATACTGATTGACTGATTATTGATTTCACAATTACAGAACTGAGCAAGAAAAAAAGCTGAGAACTTAGATCGTCAGTCAATAAACCATGGAGGGAAACATGAGAAACAGAACTGTGCGGGTGGGTTATTGATCCTTACGGTTCTGCTGCGCAGGCTGTGCAGACCCAGCTTATCGGTGAGCTCGCTGACACCCATGGCGTTCGGGAGATCCTGTTTGTTGGCGAACACTAGAAGTACCGCGTCCTTCAGCTCGTCCTCCTGGACCTGCACAGAGTCATGCGACATACAGTCAGTGGTTTCCATGACAATCATGAGTCTAATGATGCGTAACTGTAAAGTGAACAAAGGGACTGACCATCTTAGAGAGCTCCTCCGCCGACTCGGCGACTCGCTCCCTGTCATTACTGTCCACCACGAAGATCAGACCCTGTGATCAATACATCAGTCATCGATACAATTAATACATCAATACAGTGACTAATGGATCCTGCCCACAGTGAAAGTTTGTGCTGTGTTTGTCGTGCTGCAGAGTCAGGGACCTAAAATAAGCTCCTCAGGTGTTTCTGAGGGGGAACGCAGCCGTGTTAGGATAACCTGCGCAGGTCTCATGTTTGACTTTGTAGACTGTTCAATAACTCATTTCTTTTATTAACATGCATATACACATAAATGTCACTTCTATTCGTACACATGTTTGACATTCTTCAATGTATTTTATACTTTTAGATTTATTTGTATAGAATTATTTCAATGGACAGCAAATCCACTGCAACTTCATTCAAATATGCACTCACTGTTCTGATAAATTATGCTATTCTACTCTATTCTATGTGACTTACTGCTAAAGAAGAGCTTTATGGATATAAAGATATGATGAGATAGAGGATATAAATGAGGATTTTACTATAGATGAATATCTCAGGACAGATCAGATCAGTGAGGGGTCACAGAAGAAAACCTCTCATGTATGTCCACGTAAACATAACTGAACCTGAACGTCTCGTTCCTCAGAGAGAGAAAAGCCCCACACCTGCCTGCACCTGAGAGTTCCGCTTCTGTACCTGTGTGTTCTGGAAGTAGTGTCGCCACAGAGGTCTGATCTTGTCCTGACCGCCAACATCCCAAACTGTGAAGCAGATGTTCTTGTATTCGACTGTCTCCACGTTAAAGCCTGAACACACAACCACACACACACACAGAGTTGTGAACAGGTGACTCTTTGTCAAATTATAAAGAAAAACTTTTAACGACCTTCAAACATTCCAAGTCACAGGAAATGGAATCACTGACAGGAAACTACACATCCCATCAGCCCACTGAGAACCAACAGTAAATATCACAGTACAACAGTGACTGTAACAGTATATAATGTTAGAGTGAAGCAGTAGCACTGAAATACCTGCACAGAGGAGGTCTATAAAAGTTTGTTTCAGTTCTCCATGATTGTAGTTTTAATGGTTACATATCTACAGCTGTGTAAACGTTGGTGGTGTGTATAAGTTTAGTTTGTATTTACCTGCTTTAACCGTTTGTTTTCACCATCGTGTGTGTTTGTCTGCACTTGTCTGCATCATTTGTGTTTCTTGTTTTGGTACTTTATTTATTCAAACTAACAGGTGACTCTTATTCTAAAAGGTCACTTGACCTGTAGACGCAGACTTTTAATTTGAAATGAGAAGTTTAAAGGAAATTGTGCAAGTGCAAGCACACCTGGCGAATCCACACTGAAACCGATCAGATCTGATCAATATGTTTAAACCACCTGACTACACAGCCGGCTGATTATTGATCACATGACCTCATCTTGTCCCTGAGTCCTGATGACGTACCGATGGTGGGGATGGTGGTGACGATCTCTCCGAGCTTCAGTTTGTAGAGGATCGTAGTTTTTCCAGCAGCGTCCAAACCGACTGAAACACACATCAAAGATTAATCCCACATTAATTAAATGTTTCACAGTGGTTCAAGTTTAACCCGAGATTACTTAAACCTCATACAGTGAATAAAGACTAATCTGAGATTACTTAAACTTAGATCAGAGTCCAGCTGCTGGTTTAAAGCTCAGATCAAACCGGGTTTAATGTTTTTTATGGACTTAATAAAATGACACCGGTACAGTTTTAAGCTTAACCCCAGATTAAAACATTTTAACCCCAGTTTAACCCCCGTCTAGACCCCAATTTAACTAGGTTTAACGGACTGTTTTCAGCCTGCTTCCTTCCGTTAGCTCCGAGCTAACAGCCTCTTGCTTCTCCGAGCCGGACTTTTGCTTCTCCCTGCACGGGAAGATCGGGCCCGCGGTCCGCAGGACTCGGCGAGCGGGTTCCTAGTAAAAATGAGTCGGTGTGTGGTGCTGGTGAGCCCGCGGAGCCGCTTGCAGCCGCCCCGGAGCCCGGCCGGTTAGCTCGTTAGCCTAGCCCCCGCTTACCCATCAGGATCCTCATCTGTTTCTTCCCGAACAGTCTGGAGAACAGCGACGAGATTGTGAGGCCCATGGCTGCGGAGAGGAGGAGGTGGCAGGTCACACACTGACGGCGGGTAGAGCCGGAGATCCGGGAGCAGCAGTGGAATGGAGCCGAGAAGGCGCGGAGCAGAGCGAACTGAGGGCGCAGCTCCTCTCGGTGCCACGTCCAGGCCAACGCGGAACAAATGACGTCACTGCTGCGCTTAAAAAAAAACTTTATTAACAGCATAGCAAACACCGCGGCGTTCACTGTTCGCTCAAACACCGTATATTCGAGCTCTGCGCATGAAGTGAAGTTCATGAGCTGCGAGGAAGACTTTCGGCTCCGGGACAGCCATTTATATTAATACGTTTCATTTATATGTATATGTGTCACTATGGTCACGTCATTATACAACAGAACATAACAAAGTGAAATACACACGTACTGATTGTGTGACAGTGCTAAAAACATATATGTGTGTAGAATAATAAAGCGTTTTCTATTGAAGAACGGAGGAGCAGAATTTAATACACAGAATCATGAAAATATTTTCAAGCAATGATCAACCAACAAAGTTAAAATTAAGTTCTAATAAGATTATTTTTAATCTATTATTTTGTTTTTTTGTTAATCATAGTTCATTTCTAAAATTTGTACAAAATAAGAAAAAAATGTTTTTTCCCAATAAACAATCAATTCAAAATACTGTATTGCTTTCAGAAATGTTAAACATATTAATGGTAAATATATATATCTGCTTTATTGGTTGTGTTTGGCTGTTTATTTAATTTAAATCAGTGAGTTTTTAATTTAAATCAGCTAAAAAAAAAAAAATATCATCCTATTTTGCATTTTCCTGACGTCCGTGAACAAAGTAGTAAACTCCCGCCTCCTCCGTCTCAGTCCCTTCCGGTTCGGTCCAACATGGCGGCTGTTGACAGATGAAGCTTTGAGTCGGATTTTACTCATCGATTAGGTCGATTATTGACCAACTGTGACGGACAGGTTGTGAGTTTGTGATCCGGATCGAACCGGTTTGTCGGCGCAGTGTGAGGAGAGACGATCAAAGCGGCGGAAAAATCAATCAGAGGGAGAAACAAACACTGAGAAACAGAAAGAGGTGAGAAACTGTTTTCCTCCTCCTTCTTCTTTTGTGTTCCAGCACAAAGTTTTAGCTTCGCAGAAACCATCCATCGATAATTGATCGATGAGTGCTCTGAACAGCTGTTCTCCGTTTCCCCTCTAACAGGAAGTCAATGCTAAGGTTCTGTTCATGTTCTGGTGTCTGTGATCAGAGGCTCACCTGGACAGACCTGGTCAGACCTGGACGAGGTCATGGAGAAGTTCGGGATGAGCTTTGGTGGCGGTCCGAGCAGGAAGGAGCTGCTGGACACGGTGGAGTCCCAGAAGAAGCAGCTGATCCAGTACCAGACCCGCTTTAGGGATGTGGTCCGGGCCTACAAGAGCCTCCTGAAGGAGAAAGAGGCACTGGAGGCCAGCCTTAAGGTTCTAAGCGTGACCCAGGACCTGGACCTGGACCTGACCCAGAAGGGTTCGACCATCGCAACACAGGAGCTTACTGAGGATGGCTGCTCGCTGCACAGCGAGGACAGCGTGGACACGGCGGCGTCTCTGGACATGGCCAGTGAGCCTACGAGAGGCGACCAGAGCGAGGAGGACCAGGCAGAACTGGGAGGAAGGCTGGTGGTATGTTCCTTTGACAACTGAACTTAAATCACCAGAACACAGTTAGAACTTGATGACATCACCATCGCCATAACGCTCTGATGATGTCATGTCTTATTCTCTGACTCCATGTTTGTTCTGCAGGGATCTGAACCCGATGGCAGCTCTGAGAGTGGCAGCGTGGGGACAGAGCAGCAGCAGGCTACACCCCCTCCCAGCATGGAGGCAGACCGCAGAGTCGCCCAGTTGAAGAGCCAACTGAGCACGCTCACAAGCTCGCTGGCCACGGTGACACAGGAGAAGTCGCGAATGGAAGCAAGCTTCCAGGCTGACAAGCGGCAGCTGAAACAGGAAGTTGAAGAGCTGCAGGAACATCTGGTCTCCGTGACAACACAGCACGAGGCGGAACTGCACAACCTGCAGCAGCAGCTTGCTGAAAGTCGCGCTCGCATCATTACGCAGCAGCACGAGCGCGAGCAGGAGCAGGGGGACCACGCTCAGCAGCTCCGCGAGCTACAGAGGCTCCTGCAGGCCGAGCGAGACCTCCGGCAGGACGCTGAGCTCCACCTCCAGGATGCCAGCACCGCCCTGCTTGTAACATCACAGGCCATGGACCGGGGGACGGAGTCCGAGGCTCTCCTGCACCAAGTCAAGGAAGAGAGAGACGAGCTGAGGCGGAGGCTGCAGGCTGTCGAGGAGGAGCAACGAATACCCGACCCCAGAGTGGACGAGCTGCAGCAAGAATTGAACAAGCTGAAGAACCAGGTCCAGGAGCAGGTCCAGCTCGAGACCCGCAAGGTGAGCCCAGAACCAGGTCCAAACAAAGTCCCAATCAAACAGGTCCCAGTGAACCTGGTTTAACCACATTAAACAGTTTAAGCTCTAACAGACCAGGTAAACTAGAACAGGAAGTGAGGTCATCTCTGTGTTCGTGTTGCAGGTGTGCGATGCAGAAGAGCGCGCTCGTGAGCGTGCTCAGTCGGCAGAGGCTCGGGTGGCGGTCCTGGAGCAGCGTGTATCGGAGCTGTCGGAGCTGCTGGGCTCGTGTGAGAAGGCGAGGCAGCGTGACCAGCAGGCAGCGCAGAGACTCCGCGATCGTGTGCTGCAGCTTGACACGGAGAACAAAACACTCGCCATCGCCACCTCGAGCAGGGTGACCTCTGACCTCGGGCCAGACGAGCAACTGGACGTGGGGGCGCTGCGGGAGAAGCTGCAGAAGGTGAAGAAGTTGCTGCTCCTTGCGGCTCAGAGGAACCCCGACCAGAACATCCAGGACCTGGAGGTGGAGCCGGGTGCAGATGCGGCGGCGGCGGCTCTCGCCTATCAGCAGGAGCTGCGGCAGCTCAGGGATGAGTTTGAGCGCTACAAGGTGCGAGCGCAAGTGGTTCTGAAGAACAAGAACGCCAAAGATGGCTGCCAGGCACGGGAGCTGGAGGAAGTGCGCGACCAGCTTGCTGAGCTGCGTGAGAAGTACATAAACCTCCGCATGCAGAGTGACGAGGCCGAGGTCTGCCACCGCCAGCAGCTTGATGAGCGCCAGCAGCAGGCGGTGTCGCTGCAGCAGGCACACCGGCAGGAGGCGGAGCGTCTGGAGGCACTCCACCGTGACGAACTGTTGCAACTGGAGGCGGAGCTTCACAAGCAGCGTGAGCGCACTATGGCGTTGCTGGATGAGAAGGACCGCGAGCTGGAGAGGCTGCGGGCCGCTGCCGCCACACTCAGCTGGTCCAATCGTGCTCATAACACACCCGCTGACCCTAAAGAGAATGGCCCTGACACAGAGACCGACGCAATCAGCCAGGCACTGCGGCAGGCCACACCCAATGAGTCAACACTGCTGCTGTATGCTGAGCAGCTCGCACGTAAGGAGGTGGAGGTGGGTGCACTGCGGCGGCAGAAGAACCGGCTGGAGGAGGACACGCGCCAGCTGCAGGCACAACTCATTGCAAACGCCGAGCGCCATGATGAGGAGGTGGCAGCCCTGCGGGACCGCCTCGAAAAACTGATCCGGGACCAAAGCCGCGAGGGCGCCAACATGGAGTACCTGAAGAACATTGTGTACCGGTTTCTGACGCTGCAGGACGCCAACGGGCGCCAGCAGACGCTCACTGCCATCCTCACCATCCTGCATTTCAGCCCACAGGAGAAGCAGGATGTCACGAGGCTGCAGGGCAGCACCTGGTGGGTGGGACGCAGGTAGAGCACCTGAGGAAGAAAACACTCACCTGCAGGAAGAACACCTGGACATCTGAGCCATTGAAGGCATGGCTTTGTGCTGCGCTTGAGGGCATTGTGTTTTTCATCTTCCTGGTGTTTCTCTGACGGTTTGCTGCTCTCTGAGCGTCTTGTGACTTCAAACACTACAAACACGTTAACATGTGACCTTCGCTGGTCAATCAGCTGATGTATATTTTTGATTCAGATTAAAATATTTTTCCTGCTTCAATCTGTGTCTGAGCGTCAGTGAAGTGCCTTGATGATGACACAACTCTAAATACGATTTGCCTGGTCCAGCCTCTTCAGGTGAGATCACCTGTCTACAGCTGCAGTTCCTGCTTTTACCAGCCTCTGATTGGCTCTGGTCTGAAAAGGTGAAGCTAAATTCACTTAACAGGTAGAGTGCAAACTGTACACGATGGAAAAAGTTGATTTGTGAGGAACAGTGAACACACCTATGTCAGATTACAGGTAAAGGTGTTTTTGAAGCCTGAAGCTTTGTTTTATTTCATGTTTCTGACAGACATACACACGTCACACTGATCAAATACTTCACCACTGAGCTTCTCTAACATCTGTCCACATCTACAAACACTGCCTTCAGGTGCACAGAACAAAGACAGAAATGTTCATAAATGTGTTTGCACTGATCTTCACTCAGACGTTCAGATGTGGAGCCTTAATTATTTTTATATAAAATAAATAAGGAAAGAGAAAGAATCAGGAGGTTTCCTTCTCGAGGTCTGAAACTGAAGCATTAAAGAGCAGCAGCATGAAGATCAAAGGCTTATGATGACGCCGTCAGACCACAAGAAGTTACATTTCACCATGACATGAGAGGAAACTTAAAGCCTTTCTGTTCAGTCTGAATCCTGGAGGACATTAAAATAAAACAAACATGAATAAAAGTCAGAGGACAGGAAGTGCTCAGACTTTAATTTCAAAATAAAGGTTTACAAACAAACAGAAAGTGGAGCTTCATTCTTAGTGTTACATTCCGTTTGTGGAGATGATAGAAAAATACGACTTCTGTGAAACACGAACAGCCTGATTCCACCGTCAGAGAAACCAAAACAGAGCAGCAGCTCGATGGAGACAGGTAATAAAGTTTAAATAAAATTTAAATATTCCAAAAACTGAAGATTTGAGCCGATGTTGGTTTTTCTGTGGAGTGTGAAGATGCTGATGAACACAAGCGTGCGTCCTGGCTGTGGGGTTAGCTGTCGTCACGGTGACGCGCCTGTGCCGAGCACAATCTGCAGGTCGGCAGGCAGCGAGCTGATGATGGAGGAGATGAAAGAGTCGAGTTTGTCCATCACACCGTCTCTGAGCTGCAGCTGCTGACGCCGAGCTTTAACCTGAAAAGCCACACACACTTCCTGTCCTCAAAAACTAGACTTTTGACATGAAACCAACAAAGAAGAAGCAAACGATCCTAGTTGCAGGCCACCACCTCACTTTGGATTAAACCCAGATAAGGATCCTGAATTATTATCATAGCTTCATTTTCATAACAAAGTTTCATCTCTAAGCTTTAAAACAAGAAACCAGAAAATATTTTTCCCCCAGTCTCCTCTGTGGCCCAGGGCAGCATCATCTCCATCACAAATATGATGGATTTTACCCCAAACATGAACTTTTATTACAGGCAGACGTCCCAGTGTTAGTGAACGCTTTAGCGTCCATGGTCAGTGAACGCATTGTCAAGTCCAGCTTCAAACTATCAAACCATCTCACTTTTGATTTAACTCTCAGGTAACTAAAATCTTTTTCACCTGCAGTTTTAAGTTTTACTTCTTCAAATTAATTTTTATCCTAAGCTTTTTATCGGTAACACAATTTTACATGACACTTTTTTCCTGTCTAACAAACTTCCTGTTGGAACTCACCAGCTTCTCTCTGAGCTTCAGAATCAGATCCACAACCTCCACCTCAGACTTGTCTTTGGTCCATCCCAGCAGGTCCTGCAGAGGACACACCTGGATTAGGGGCTGCACAGCTGGCTGATGGTCGAGCATTTTCGCTCAGATAACTTACCGCATCGCAGATGACCTCCAGGTGGAGACTCTCTAGCTTCTGTGTCATCTCTCGGTGGCGGTGACGGTACCAGCCGTCAAAGTTTGGAGACCTGAAGAACTTCCTGAGATGGAAACAGGAAGTAGAAACTTAAAGACAGGAAGACAGAAAACACCTGGATCACTCACACCCGTGAGGCTCACCTGTACAGTCCTATCCAATCACCTCTAAGCAGAGAGGTGAGCTGCGGGCCCGCATGGTCCAATGTGGACAGGAACTCGTCCTGACTGAAGGGGCGGATCTGAGGCGGAGTCTGAACGGAAACACAGGAAATGTGTAACACAAGACAGCACTGTGACCTCATCACCACCACTCATTTCCTGTTTACCTTCCAGGGTGTAACGGATCTCTGCAGGGGCATCAGACTCGCCATGTAGCGTTCCTATTAGACAAAACACGCTGCTTACTGAGAACTGCTCTGTGATTGGACAAGTTATGCTTACATCATAAAGTACAGGCAATGCGAGCTGATTGCGCAACTACTTGCCAGGGGGATAATGAAACTCTGCGTGAGCTCCAACAGGTGTCGCCTCAGGATGGCGCTCTGCACCTCCGACGGCCGCTTCCTTTGGATCCCCTGCAGGTAAACAGTCAGTCAGCGACACTCTGCATTACCTGTGTGTGCGGTGTGCTCAGGTGTGCTCACCTTCAGCAGCCTCTTGATCAGGATCTTGTCCTTGTGCAGAAACGTCTTGTAAGCCGTGTAGATTCCTGCCAAAACAAACCTTCAGCATGACAGACATCTACCTGAGCTCAGGTACAAACACGCCCCCACCGGCTTACCTGGTTTGGTGTCAAGCGTTTTCAGCTTAGAAAGTTTCTTCACCTTCACCTGCTTCGGTAAATCACCTGGAAGACATCAGAGACAGCACGCATACGTGATTAAAAAGGTCACAACAAGAACGGCGAAGACGATCTGAACAGCACACGCCTGACAGCCATGGCACATCACAGAAACAGGAAGCTCACAGTGAACACGCAGGAAGAGGAGGAATACGGCGTACCTGCCATCTTGACCTCTCCCAGCCGGACGATGTGAGGCCAGCTCTGAAACGTCTTGATGAAGAACGGGTTGGTGACGCCCAGCACGACGCTTGGTCTGAACAAGAGAAGAAGAAACAGGTAATCACACGTGAGGCTGGAACATCTGTCGACCGCTTTCCTAAACTTAGGCTTTAAGTGTCCCAAGGGTGTGTTTACAGCACAGGTGTGTTCAGGCTCCAGGTGAGCATGACTCACGGCGCCTGCGTCCTGGTGGTGTACTCCCTGAACTCGCTGTCATGGATGGTGAAATAGGGTCGGAAGTCGCAGCAGAACTTCAGAGGGCTGATGGAGCTGTGGACACACACCGTTATCATGGTAACAACAGAAACACCATATTCTGATTGGATGCTGGGGGCTCGTTGTGACCCCTCAGTTACCTGATGAGAGCCAGGACTGTTTCCGAAGAAACGGTGGGAGATGGAGCCATAACGACAAGCGGCTCCCCGAGCAAGGTAAGTTCCCAGAGCATCTGCAGGTGGATTAGAATGGACTGGAAACACCTGAGCAGGACACAGGTGAGACTGAGATTAACCAATCAGAGAGCACACCTACACTTGAGAAACATAGAACACCTTAACGAGTACTGACTTAAACAGGTCCAGCTCGTGGATGGTGGGCAGGAGGGTCGGCACCGGCAGCAGGTTCTGAGCATGCATACAAAAATTTTTTATTAACAACAACAACAACAAGAATAAACATTATTAACAAGATCAAAGCAACAAGACCTCACCTCTTTAGCCGTCTGTCGCACCGGACTTCCCCCAGGTTTGTCGAATTTAGAAGGAATCCTCACCTGAAACATGAGACACACAAACACCTGTAAACCACATCCCTTCTGTCACCTGTGAGCCAGGCCACTTCTCTCCTCACCTGTAAGATAACGCCCATTACGGGCAGGTTGAGGGTCTGCCCAGGTACAGGTGAAGGCCATTGGTCGATCTCGTTACAAACTACGGGGATGAGCAGAGGAAAAACACGTTAAGGGCCATTCTGAAACCTGATTGGCTCCCAGATATGATCCAAGCATGATGTGATTACCTGCTTCAAGGCAGGGCTCATGCTTCTCAAAGAACTCAGGTGCAATGGTCTGCATCAGCGAGTGGAACAGGTGAGTGTATGGCAACCTTGACACCAGCACCAGGGACTGAAACACAGAGTCAAATGACTATCACCATCATGACCACCTGTGAGCAGGTGAATACAGGTGAACACAGATGTGTTTGGTGACCTTCTGGAAGTAGCCCCTTTTCACAGAGACGTCCTTCACTTGTCTGAAGTAGACGTAACCGAAGAAATGCGCCGTTTCTCTCTGACAGACAGAACAGAAATGTTACGCACCTGTGAGGCTGAAGCAATCAGCCATTCAGGAACCAGGTGAGTCTCACCTGCAGTGTGACGGGAGCGTCACGGTTGTAAAGGTCGTCTCTGAGCCTTGATGTTCGGCGACCGACAGACTGACGGAAGCGGAAGCTAAACTGAGTGTCCCCAAGGCACCCTGGGAAATAACAGACAGCCCACGTGACCTCTGACCTCCAACCTCTGACACCTGCAGTATTAATTAGCATTACCTCAGCTTACCTGAGTACGAGTCGGGGAAGGACAGGTAGCAGATACTGGTTTTCTGTCAACACGAAACAGAATCAGTGAAAGTGTAATCAACAACACTTACAGGTGATCAGGAAGCTGAAGATATTTACCTCTTTCTCTGTCAGCTTCACATCTTGAGGATAAACCAGCTGAAAGTAAACACAGGGGAAAATATTTCAGAATCTGCAGAAAATTCTGACGTTTTTAAGTTTTTTCGATCTGAGATAGCAAGAGAGGATTAATTTAACTTGCATATCGCCCTTCGTTATTCACAATCTTCTGATAAGCAGTTGCACAAAAAGTATAGTCTATAATATTTGAAACACTTCAGGTAATCGATTGGTTCTATGATGAGCTCAAGAGCAGTCTGATATTGTTATTATTTGTATTATATTACAAAATCTATCAGAATAATAATGAGAAAACAATGCGTTTTTTAAAACACGGATTGGTGCTTCTAGGCCAACATAGCTGTCTTTAATCCACAGATACAACTCCTTGAGTCCCACCACCAAACCCAGAATCCTGCTGATTTTACTTCTGCTGCCTTCCACGGATCCTTAACTGTCTCCTTCATTCAATGTCTCAGTCATTACCACCTGTTCTTTACAGAGTATTCACATTTTAACACAGCATTCATCTTTATTTACCTCCACCATAAACGGAGCAACACCAGGTACAGGCAGGACAAGGCGAACACTGAGCGGTCAGATTTTTACGCTGATTGAATGAAAGCTGAAGAGAGGAGAATGTTTTCAGCCTGGTGTTTACCTGTTCAGGTGCGTTTCTCCACAGGTCACATGTGAACAAAGAATTCGGGGGGTTTAAATGGAGTTTGGTACAGACAGAGGAGCGGCTGTTTTTCAACTGAAATTACTCATCAAACCTCCGATCATCAGTGATCATTCATCATATCGATCACTAGCTATGCTAGCGATGCCAGGCTAACGTACCTCAATTGCTTGTCCGAGCTCCAAGTCGAACGTAACGACGCACGCGCACTCCAACCAGGAGGAGAAGCGGGCCCACCGGCTGCGGCTTTCCGCGCGCCCCGCCTCCTCCTGCTTCTCGTGTCGGGGAGAACCGGGACCGTCAAATGGGTCCATCACGACCGGACCAAAACGGCAGCAGCTCTGCGCATCACCATCCGAGCCTCCATCACCATCAGCGGGCAGAAGCCGGAGAGAGCTCCCCCTGTTGGACAAGAGAGAATGAACCCACACACACCGCTGCTGGAGAAAATCAAAGGCTGCCGGCTTTTATTTATTTATTTTACTAGTTTCTACTGATTTTTACTGCCTGTTACCCCAACAAATACATCCACACAAGTTTGATCTCTTATTATGAACAAATCACTGCTTTCTGTAACTTATTACTTTTATTGTGAAAAGGCCGGATGCGTGCGCAGCGTGTTCCGGTAGATTACCGGCCGCGCTCAGCTCGGCTCTCCAGTCTCTCAGCTGTAACCGGACTGAACGTCATGTCTGACCCGTGCTCCTTCTCCTCGTTCACCAGGTGCGTCACCAAGCACCTGCACCTGCACCTGCACCTGGACTTCGACAGGCACGTAATCAGAGGGAGGGTGGCGCTGACTGTGGAGGCGCTGGAGGACCGATTCTCTACGCTGGTAACGTCAACGGGACGCGGGGGGTTAGCCTCGATCTAACTGAACCTTTAGTGCTCACCAGAGTCCAACTAAAATCCGCTGGATTTAAGGGGAGTGCGTGCTTAGAGGCGAGCACGAAGAAGTAACGAGCCGGGTCACACTGACGGTTCCTCGGGTGTTCCTCTGTGATCCGGCACCGTGCAAGCGTTAAGGTGTGCCTGATGATTAACTTTAACCTCGGGGAGTACCGGTACCTTAATTCCAGCTGTTTTTAAATGGAGTCTGGTGTTAAGGCGTTTTTACAGACTTATAAAAACAGTTTGTCACTCAGCTTTAATAAACTAACCTTACTGTTTTAAAACGTGATTTCACAAACTGAAGCTTCACATATTTACGATCTTTAAAACTAACTGTGATATAAATCATTTTTACTTAATTATTGATCTTTATTCACGTCGCATTTAAATTGTGACGCTGTGTGACATCCTCGAGCTTCGGGACTGATCGGGTTTAATAACTGCTTTATTAAAACAAACTCGTTAACTTTAACCTGTTGTTTTGGAAAAACTGTGACAGGTGAGTATCTTTCAGATAGAACAGGTGTGTCCAAGTTCTTTAAATTTCACAGAAGCCTGCACCCCTACTGGAATCTGTGGTTCAGTTCACTGTCTGTGGTTATTCTTGTGCTTTGTTACTTCACCATCGACTCTCACCTGTGAGTGTCAGATTTCAAATTTTGAATCAGTTCTGTAAATATATTCAGAGCATAAAAACTTAAAATGGCTCTTTTCTGGATGGAGTTTGGCGTGACACCAGTCAGCTGAAGCCGTAGACTGAAGTTTAGTAAAACAGGTGTGCAGGAGAGCAGACTTTTCACTTATTTGTTTTTAACAGTTTTCATAGCTCAGGTTTGATTCTGCAGCTGCAAGACGGTCGCCTGTAGAAAGGTAAATGTAACATTAAGCCCCCAGTGGTTTTCTGTCTTTCTACCTCCGTAATCCCCTCCCTTTTGCACCCATCTTTGGGTGCATGGTTGCTTAAGAGGTTAACCCTCACCTGTCCATAAGACAGACAGATAGACACACAAGTAAAATAAGGTTTTCTTTGAATGGACTCTGGTGTGACGTGGCTCAGCTTTAAGACAGAGTGTGTAAGGTGACCTTTGTGCAGGTAGGACAGGTGAATATTTATCAGCAGGTTCAGGTGCTGACACAGCAGCTCGGTAACTGGGGTTTTCTGTACCACAGACTTTGGACAGCAGTGACCTGAGCGTGGTGTCGGTGACGGCCAATGGGCAGCCGGCGCGCTTCAGCCTAGGGCCCAAACACAGCTTCAAGGGGACCCCATTGGAGATCACGCTGCCCTTTGACCTCTCCAGGTGACTCCGCCCTCCACTCTCTCTGTCCTTATGGCCTGTCTTTTCTAATTAAATTCTAACGTCTGCTGTCCAATCAGAGGGCAACATGTGATTGTGGAGGTGACCTATGAGACGTTTCCATCAGCAACAGCACTGCAGTGGCTCACGCCTGAGCAAACTGCCGGGAAAAAGCACCCCTACCTGTTCAGCCAGTGCCAGGTGAGCCATTTACCCTCACCTGAGCTGTATCCAATATAAATGATTAAAAATTTCATGTTTAAATTTGAATTCAGAGAAATTCTAGATTTTTTCTCTTTTGAAACCTTTTTTAAGTTATAAAAGGTTAAAATAAAAGTTTTAAACTGAAGTTTACTGTAAACATATTTTTGGTTGATTACACCTGAAACGCTGCATACGAAAACCTTCAACAGAAAGAAAAGTTCCACTTTTTGTGGTTTTTCTGTGAACTGTTGAAACTTTGTGAAACTGCAACCATTAACAAACTACTTCCCTGTTATTCTCGTTTTCTACCTTCTTCAAACTGATTTCACTGCTTTGTAAAGTTTAAAGCCTCAGTCTGCTGCAGAGCGTCCTCTGTACAGACCACCCCTGAACACAACATGCAGCTAATAGCCTTGTGCCCTCTGTGCTGTCTTACAGGCTCATCACTGCAGGAGCATGATCCCCTGTCAGGACACCCCATCCATCAAGCACACCTACTATGCTCAGGTAAACAAACACCACTGACAAATTATCGATGATTAAAATTATTAATAATTGTTAAAAAAAAAACACCTGAACAACATTCATAGCATCACCTCAGTGCCCAGAGCCTGATATTAGTCTCTCAGGTGTGTACTTGTATGTATGTGTGTGGGTACCTGTCCCTCAGGTGTCTGTCCCTAAGGACCTGGTGGCGGTGATGAGTGCAGTGAGAGATGGACAGGAAGTCGATCCTCAGGATAGTGGTCGGATCATCTACAGGTTCAGGCAGACGGTAGGGGGAGTCTCTTTCTTCTCTTCATCACCTGACATCATCATCACCAGGCCTCAGGCGTGACTGTCCTCTGTTTGACCTCTGATCTCAGGTGTCTATGCCTTCCTACCTGATAGCCATTGTTGCTGGAGCTCTGGAAAGCAGGTACAGATTGTCTTACCTCTTCTGATGTCACAGCATCAGCTTCAGCAGGTAAACTTAACTCTGTGCTCTGATTGGTTGGCAGGGAGATCGGGCCAAGGACCAGAGTCTGGTCGGAGAAAGAGTTTGTGGACAAAGCAGCGTTTGAGTTCTCCGAGGTGAGAACCACAGACACACTGAGGCCACGCAAACAATGGAAAGGAGACACACAGAACATGAGAACATACAAACATGAAAATATGAGAACATGTAAAACATACAAACATGAAAATATGAGAACATGTAAAACATACAAACATGTACAACATGAGAACACAAAAAAATGTAGAACATGCAGGACATAGAGAAGCTGGAGTGATGTTCGGGTGTTCCTTGTCTTTCAGACCGAAGCCATGCTGAAGACAGCTGAGGAACTGGCTGGACCGTATGTTTGGGGTCAGTATGATGTCCTGGTTCTCCCTCCATCTTTCCCCTACGGCGGCATGGAGAACCCATGTCTGACCTTTGCCACGCCCACCTTGCTGGTACGTACAAACAGGGGGCCAATCAGGTTGTTCATGATGTGTCAGTGTCATGAGACTGTTAGTTCTGATCAGCTATTTCCTGTCTGTTTTCAGGCTGGAGACAAATCTCTGTCTGGTGTGAGTACAAGACTCTTCCCACCTCACCATGTGATCATGCATTATAATTAAATTACCTTCCATTCCTGTCTGTGACTGTGCATGTGTCCTACAGGTGATTGCCCACGAGATCTCTCACAGTTGGACTGGAAACCTGGTGACCAACAAGACCTGGGAGCATTTCTGGTAAACAAACAAACAGGTGGAGCTCAGCTCAGGGGTCTCAGGTGTTTGCAGAGACGTGTAGAGAACCCATGGACGCCTCAGAAGATAAAATCTTAAAACCAGTTTTGAGACATGCTCTAAGTCACAAAACCCGATGCAACAGAACAGGCCCACATTTGCTCAGGTGTCCAGGCACTGTGTAGGTTTTCAGAGTGAAGTCACAGCTTTGGGACAGACACTTTGTGGAACTTATGGGTTCTCTGAAATGGGATCAACTCATGGTGGGGTTGGTTTATCTGGAAAGATTCACTCTGAGGTTAGCTGAACGAAAATCATCCAGGGTTCGACTTCACAAAAGCAGAAATCATTAAGAAATACCAGCGTTTGAGGGTCAGGTGATGCAACGTATTGGCTGACCCGTCCCCACTGCTGACCCGATAGCTCGCTGAGACCGTCCTTTTGAAAATCTTTGATTTACTTTGGTTTTCACAAGGAAAAATTCAGACAACTGTTACAGCTGATTGACACACAAAGTGGTGGGAAATACTGTAAAGGATTACCTAGGCAACCAGACATTGCATTTTCCACTGTCGGCTCCAACAAGATGCTTATTATTACGTCATTATTTGACGTCAGCATGTTTGTACCTTCAGGCTGAACGAGGGTCACACGGTCTACCTGGAGAGGATGATCGGCAGGTGTCTGGAGAGCGAACAGTTCAGGCAGTTCAAAGCCATCGGAGGCTGGAAGGACCTGCAGGACTCGGTGAGAACTCAAACATTACACACCTTCACCTGTGTCACATCCACAGTCTGACATGAGGCACGTTTTCCTTCCACTCACCTGTGCTCATCATATCTCAGGTGAACACCTTTGGAGCCAACAACCCTCTGACCAACCTGGTGCCCAGCCTGCAGGACGTCAGTCCTGACGATGCCTTCTCCTCCGTGCCGTACGAGAAGGGCTTTGCTCTGCTGTATTACCTGGAGGAGCAGCTGGGAGGGCCAGGTAACACCTGCACACTCCTGCACACTCACCTCTTTCCTGTTCAGTTGCTGACACACCTGTTGATCTGTTTTGCTCAGAGGTGTTCATGGGCTTTGTGAAGTCGTACATCCAGCGGTTTGCCTACAGCAGCGTCACCACAGAGGAGTGGAAAAACTACCTGTTTGCCTACTTCAAGGACAAGGTGAGGAACAACTGGACACTCAGGCAGAGTTACAGTGACTGGAGGGAAGGAACATCAGCTTGGCAGGTTTTGGTCAGAGGTCAGATTGTTACAAGAAAAGACAAATATTTACAGGGTGATCAGGCAGAAACTCCAGATGTGATAGATAGGTGGGTTCAAAGGTCAAGATGGAGCCTTGAGATGAGTTTTTGTGTCTCAGGTGGACATCCTGAACAAGGTGGACTGGAACGCCTGGATGTTCACACCTGGGATGCCTCCTGTTAAACCTCAGTAAGTACTCAGACTTCCATCTGGTCTCTGATTTCTAAAAACAATCTGATTCCTTTGTCCTGATTGGCTGTTGTTTCAGATACGATACCACGATGGCTGACGCCTGCAACGCTCTCAGTCAGAAGTGGCTCCAGGTGAGACCTGAATCTGGTGAGGACTCTTGAGTGATTTTATGTTCAGGCTCAAAGCTCCATCCTCTGTCCCCGTTCAGGCTAAAGACCAGGACCTGAACAGCTTCAAGCGGTCCGATGTGAAGACTCTGTCATCCCACCAGGTCATCGAGTTCCTGTCACTGCTACTGCAAGAGGTAACCACACTCCACATTAACTCCCTACAGTCCACTTCCGTTCACTCACCTGTTCCTTCCTTCAGGATCCGCTCCCTCTGACTCACGTGAAGAAGATGCAGGAGATTTACGATCTCAACGCCTATATGAATGCAGAGATCCGCTTCAGGTGAGTCTTTCAGCAGGTATAAATGGGACTTTCATTTTAAAACCTTCCCCTCCTTAAAGCCTCTTGGTGATTGGCTGTGCTCCCTCCAGGTGGCTGAGGCTGTGCGTCAGGTCCAGGTGGGAGGAAGCGGTTCCACTAGCGCTGAAGATGGCGACCGACCAGGGCAGGATGAAGTTTACACGACCACTCTTCAGGTCCTTACACTTCAACAGTAGTTTCACTAGAACAAAACTTCACATCACTGACCTTCATGTTTGTTTTTACCGTTTGTTCTATTGTTTCTTCTGTGTTTTTACTGTGCCTTTACCATTTTTACCCTTCCACTTTAAAGACTTATGAGGTATTATCGTCACCCTCCCGGGGACGTGGCATGAACACCTAAGTTTGTGAGTGTGATAACTCGAGAACAAGATGACATAAGAGTTTCAAATTGGTCCCATAGCTGTATCTACTAAAATTCTCAGACGAGATCAAGCTGACCTTATTGGCCTTATTGCCAAGGTCAGAGGTCAAGTTTTCTAAAACTCTTGCAATGCAATAACTGAAGAAGGTTATCTAGGGTTTTCAAATTGGACCATAAGTTTCTACTAAAAATCTTGGATAAGTTTGAATCTGACTGACCTCAATCTCAAGGTCAGAGCAAGTTTTCTGAAAATCGTGTTAATCTGATAACTTGAGAACACGGTGATGTAGGGTTTTGAAATTGATACCCGAGGTGTGTCTGCTAGGAGGCAGCACTGATTCTCTTACTGTGTTTCTGCTGTTTTAATCATTGTGGCTGTGCTTCATCTTCAGGGAGGTGTTTAACTTTGAGAAGTTTCGTGATGAAGCTCTTCGAGTGTTTCTGGCTCATCGAGCGGGGATGCACCCGGTCACCTCCGGACTCGTCTCGAAGGACCTGAAGGTGGACGTCAGCAACGCCGCCAGTCAGTAACAGCAGAAACGAGTCCAGAACCAGTCAGAGACCAGTACCGATCAACTTCAGCGCCAAAGCAATATTATATCACAGCTGTTATTTCTTGGCTGGTTCTCTCTGATGAAAGTTTAATTGAATCCTCTTTTTCCTTTTTATTCCTTTCAAATATTTCGTCTTCAGCAGAAAAACAAGACGATTTTATAAAGAAATAAACTGAGTAAACTTTGGATTCTTGTTGTTCATTCAGATCTCAGCTGGGGTCACACAGGTCGTGTGTGATCGTGTGCTGTTTGTAGTTTCAGTGTTTACATTTTCACTTTATTCTAATTGCACAAGTAGAAAATCGCTGGGGTTTTTATTATTTTAGGCATAAAAGGTATAGAAATGTCTGAAATACTTAAAAGCAGGTCTTAAGTGTTGCTTTAAGCATTCATAGAGGATGATTTGTGTTTCACACTGAGCTTAGCATCCCTCACACTGATATGTGTCAGTAAGTATTCACACTGATGCAAAAAGAAGACCTGCAGTAACTGGCCAGAGAACATACAGGAACAAAGAGCTAACAAATCAGTCATCTGGAATTATACTTTTAAGGTCACCTAATCTGGTGATCAGTGTATCTCAATATCATGAAAAATTACCTCAAATATTTGAATTAAATCTCTAAAAGGAAGTGTGCTGTTTCTGACCACTCCAAGCGTCAGGACATAGCTTGTTAACTTATTTAAATGTTCATTCAGATCCAAAAAGTCTGTTTACTCTCCTCTACCTGACATCCAGACTCACTTTGAGTATAAAAGCCACCTGTTCTGAACTCACAGTGATGGAAACCTTAAGATAAAGGAAACATAACCATCACAGTGCTGTGCTGTCTTCACTGCTTTTAATTCTTTTGGCACTGAAAAGTAATTACCTTCAGATGACGACTTTGATGTTTGTAAAGCTGCAGTGTCAGACCTGAACATGAAGAAGGTTCACGTGTTGCGATAGAAATCTCAGAGCTTACCTAACACCACTGAACAGACAGTTTGAGGAAGAAAACAAAAGAATGACAACATTCAGAGGTCAGAGCCTGTAATTCACTTCCTCTTTCAGTTGGAGCATTAACAGGACAAACGTTTCACCATCATGTGTTGGGAAGTGTGAAGCCACAGAAATAGTTACACAAGCATGCTCGAGAGGAGGAAGGAGAGCCGGGGCACCGCTGAGAGACAAAATATTTTAAATCTTCTAAACTGAAACCTCTGACATCAGACTGACATCTGCAGAAACAGGATGCTGTCAGAGGGTTTTCAGGCTGTTCAGAAGAATTAAACATCTGGTCTTCAGTTTCTGTTGGAAACACAGAAACTGCCAGACTGGAAGTTCAAACTACTGGAACATCTGGTGATCCAAACAGCTGTTTGTTACTAGTGTACAGGCTCAGATGCTCTACATGTACAGCTTTGAGCTTGAGATCTGTGGACTTATTTGTCGCTTTTAAAAAACAGTTAAAAACTCATCTTTTTAAACTTTCTTTTGGTAAATTTTTTGTTTTTATGTTTAAGCTTCTGTGAAGCACTTTGTGATTTTTATCTTGAAAGGTGCTATACAAATAAAATTTTACTTACTTACAAACTGAGGCCTGCTGGAGGACAACCAGCATCACCTGCAGGTCAGGTGATTTATTTTTTACTCTTCTGTGACTGAAGCTTACAGATCTTTCTCTCACTGTGCATTGAATACAAAGCTGTAGAGGAGTCACAACTTATGTTCAACAATCAAATGTTATAAGGGAGGAATGGTTCATCGATCTTCTCAAAAAAGCTTAATGTGTTTGTATTTAATCATAATAATAAAATGTAATTTCTGAGCAGAAATGAGCAGAAAATGAGCCAGAATGTCAGAAATGAGAGGTTTATTTCACAGCACAGAGTTACAGTAATAACCATCATCGCCGCATGAACACATGTTATTGATCAGGTGGCAGGTAAGGCACACAGGTGATCTGATGGCACAATCAATAATCAATTAGATAAAAATGTCATTGAGGCTGGGTCACATGGTTCATCGGATGTTTTAAAACATTTTTTTTATTAAATATTAAAGTTTGTGAAATGCTCAAACATCTTTAGTGAGTCTTAGCTTATTTTAAGAGTTCCTAAACTTTATAAAAGAGTTTTAAAAACAGTGATATGAGACCAGAGGGTTCGGCCTCAAAGGATTTAAATACACTGTTTTAAATGTTTTAATATCAGGTTTAATATCTAAAATATTAGGAATGGGTCCAGTTCCTGTAGACAACCAGTTTCTAGTAGAATTAATTTGATTTATTAGTCTGCCTGCCTATTGAGCCCACTTTTGAGTTCTTGAACTCTTGCTGTCTAGTTTTTATATTTTACTCCTGACTGCTGGGGTGGAGCCTCCACAATTTTGTTGTGCATGTACAATGACAGTAAAGGGCTATTGTATTCTACTGTATTCAAACATTTGACACACAGCATGTAATTAATTAACTAGCATCTGAGACTGTAAACTCCTCAGGAAAGAGTTTACTGAGCTCAGATCAGAGGAGTTTACCCCTGTTGTCAGTAGAAAGAATGGAGTTTTAAGATAGCTCAGCACTGAGAGCTGAAGTCCACCTTTGTGTTCTCTCTCGAGGAGTTAGAGATATTTAAACTCTGCACCAGGATAAGCTGCACAAACACGTCTTCATTTAGATTAGCTTACTTTTACTCCAGGTAGCAACAGTGGGTTATGGTAGCTGGTTAGCAGTAGCAGTAGCATGGTATTGGCTAGCAGCCATGTCAGTGTTCCATCACTATAGCTAATACAGGCTGTTAGCATTAGTACTAACTCCTGCAGTCAGAAAAGTGGAGTTTTTTCCCATCTTCTCTGGCTTGAATGACATCATCACACCTGATTGGATGGTTCAGTTCAGACCATCCTGTATCTGTTTGGGTTCTGCTGGATTTAATCCATCAAGCTGCTCTGATGACTAACTTCTAAGGAAACATTAGAGGTCAGCTGATTTCAGACTAAGACATCCTGTTTCTGCTCGTGGGTAGTTTTTATGAATCAGTTTTAAAAAGTTAATAAATGTAATTGTTTCTCTCCACCTGGACTGTTTACCTGCACTAAACCAGACTCTCCTCAGGTCAACTCGACAGTTTGCAGTTTTAAACATATCATCCCTGCCTGCGTCCAGGTGGGTTTAAAGACCTCTGACAGGTGAGACAGAAAGTCTGACCGCCTTAGGTCCAGGTGAGTCCCAGTCCTCCGGACACCATCAGCTGCTCCAGGTCCCTGTCTTCCTGTCGCTCCTGCAGTCTCTGCTCCTCCAGCAGGGACACCAGAGAGTCTCTCTGCTCAACCACCTCCAGCATCTCCTCCAGAATCAGACGCTCCTCAGCCAGCTGCTCCTCGTCCTTCAGGTGGTCTGCATGCGCGTGGGCACACACACACACACACACACACACACACACACACACACACACACACACACACACACACACACACACACAC